CCGCGAGTCGCTAGTGTGATACGGCCATTTGCGATTTTTTTTGTACTAACTACATGCAATGTGATAAATTACTGTAAATGTTGTGTGCTGTATAGGGCATTTCATGAGTTATATGAAAGCTGAAAAGAAATCATGTGCCATTGACTTAATTGTTAAAAAGTGAAAGTTCAAGGGTATTTTAATTTATTGGGACATTCGATGATTTAATGAGATGAGAACAAGGAATGAAGAACATGCTAACCTGCAATAGTCATAAGCTATAGGAGAACAATAATACAGAGTACAATTGAAAATCGTTTTACCTCTTCAAAGTAATGTCTACCATGTGAAAACTTATTTTCATTTCTCTTTTCATTGAGTAATAAAGGCACCAATAAATCACCAAATTCATTATTTAAATTAAATGTAGCCTCACTTTATAACATATTTTTCTTTTAACTCTTTAAATAATGTTTTTAAATTGATGATAGAATCTTTTTTTCGTTTCACGGATAAATTTAAGATTTTATTTTTTTTTCCAACCATTTCCAATTTTTTTTTCCATGTTGCTTCCTTATTATGTATAAGAGTACGAAACATGTTTGCTTGCTGATTTAAACGTTCTTGCTGTAATATTTTCAAATCTTCTATTGTTTTTTGTAATTTTTCATTTTCCAATAATAGATTATTATAGTTAAGTGAGTGATTATTATATCTTGAACAATTGGAACCTGTAATATAAATATAATTAAATGATTAATAGGTAAATGTTTATATAATAACAGACCCAGCCCTGATGAACCTTGACATACATTGTCAAGGTCATGGCCCTGAGTAACTTTCAGAAGGTTTTCGCCTTCGCTTGCTGTTTGTTTAAAAGTTATAAAGTCCAATCCATCCTATGTCTACAAAATGAAATGAAGTCTTTTGTGTTAATAACTTATTAACAAACAGCGAGCGATTTCTGAAAGTCACTCAGGGTTATAACCTTGACAACATATGTCAAGGTCAAAGTCATCGGAACTGGGTCCGTTATTATAAACATTTATCTTGTATGTACTGTATATATTATTAACGTTCATGATAAAATACAAACAATGATATTCTATCTTACATTTGATTGTCTTTCTTAAGAAAATTTATATACATACATGTTGATAACGCTGTAGTTTTATCGCTATTTTTATATATTCCAGATTGTTCACTTCCTTTTAGAACATCATTAATTGGATTATCTATAACAAATATATTTTTATTTTATTTAATATGTTTATAATACTCTATTTTATATAATATTTTATTAACTTTTTTAATAAAAAATGCAAAATAAATATGTATGCTATTTTAATTTATATTTCATGTAGTTGTTTTTTAAGAAAATTTGAACATACCTGTTAATATAATTGTCGTTTCATCATCACTTTTATATTTTTCAGATTGTTTATTTTCTTCCAGAACAATATCATTAATTGGATTATCTATAACAAATCTATTTTTATTTTATTTAATTCCATATATATTGTATATTTTATTTAATACCATATGAACTGTATATTTTATTTTATTATGTTTTATATATTTAGTAAAAAAATAAGTGCACATGTGTTATTCTGATTTGATATTTATTCACTTACTTTATTATCATGATATTTATAATTTAATAATATACTTACATTCATTGATTTTATTCATTGTACTTTCCTGGAAAACTGCCAATATATTTGGATGTACATGCCATGTTGGTATAACGTTTGGTTTTAAAGTTCGTTTATTGTTTATATCATAATAATCATTGTCTGTGAAATGCAAACTGCATATTCGGACATTCGAGGCTGGAAACCAATTATTTCGCCCTGTTGCCGCAATCCAATATTTAATTATTTTTGGATTTTTAAATGGAAATCTGAAAAATTAATTTAAAGAAGGCAATAAACATGATAGCCTTAAAAAGAGGACTATTTCTCCCAGATATACAATATATTTCATTGATGAGATAAAAATAAAAGTTTAAAAAAAGTTAAATTATATAAGATTATTTTATACAAATTTATGAGAATGCTAAGCAGTTTACAGATTGTCTCTGTATCTCGATCTATTGTTAATGCTAAATGATAAAGTAAACTACATATTCACGAAACATAGACAATCCGTAAACCGCTTTTAAAAGTAAATCGTGCAAGACATTATTATTAATAAATACTGTATAATTACAAATTAAATTGGACTTTGATCTGTATTGAAATTACATAAAAATTGAAAATAAATATTGAAAAGTTAAGGTAAAGGATTGGTTATGATTTGGTTATGATTACAATAACCTCTACAATAAAATACTAGATTGATTGCAACTTACCTATGAAATATTATCTCCGGATTTTTTCCACTTAAACTGTGACAACTTTTTACACGGCAAGATATCGGCATTATGACTTGACATAAAAATAAAAGCACGAATATTTTAGAGGCTGCGTACAATAGCAAGAACAGCACGAATAATGCGGGGTCTATAATAGAAGTCGTAGCGGTAGTAGGGTCTTAAGTCGTAAAAAATTGACCAATCACAGTTGATTATTCTTCTCATATTCGACTGTGATTGGTCAATTTTCTACGACTTAAGACCCTACGATTGCTACGACTTCTAGACCCCGCATTAGTCATAAATCAGAAGTTAGAAGCTGGAAATTGACGACTGTGATTGGTCAATTACGACGAGAATGGCCATTACGACTGTTAAGACAATAGGGTCTTCCTCGAATATTTTCTTTTTATCTAAAACAATGCTTCTACCCGTAAAAACAAAAGTTACAATAACAAAAGTTACTAAAAATCAATCAATAATTTTTTTTAATAAGTTAAAAATCACGTATGTTTTGAACGCTCATTTATTCGCGCCATATCCTGCTGAATCGTGACGTCACACGCTATAAGCCAATCACACTTTCTTTTCGCTCCTCTGTTTTTTAATAATTTTTAATAATTTTTTGGCCGTAAATGAGTATTGCTAATATTGATAAATGGATCTTATGAACAATGCAGATAATTTAAATCTATAAATATAATTTTTTTATGACTAAATATTCACTATTTTATTAAAATAAGTTAGGTTAGGTCGGTGACAGCTGTTGTTGACAGTTGATTTAAAATTTACATAAACCGATGTGAAATGGCAGAAAATTTGCAGAAACGAGTAATGGCAGAGAAAAAAAGAAATTACAAGTGGTGTTTTGTGCCTTCATGCACTCAAAACAATATCTGTTCTCCATCAACAATTTTCCTGTCAGTGCCAAAAGGAGAGATTCGAAGAAAATGGTTCGAAATCTCAGGCCGAACTGATGCTTCAACTATATCGCTGACTAGTAGTTTGTTTTGTTGTGAACACCATTTCAATGTAAGTCATATACCTAAAATATAATAAATTAATCCTAAATAATTCAAAATAAATTGATTTTATGTTTGCAGTTAGAGGAGGATGTTGAAAATTACATGCAAGTCAGGTTCATTCCAAACGTACTCTCTTCAGCCCTGTAAAATACAGATATTGATTGTGGAACTATATTAAACTTTTATATATATTGAATGTATGTAAAGTGTGTAAACACCTTTTAGCTTTAACACCTCTTGTCTCTGCCACGTTAAAAAATTCATTTTCACTAAAAAAGTCAGCAACCATTAAAACGTTTAATTTTGGTAAATTATCCGATTGAGCTTTAACAAAACCTGTAATATTTCTCGCCATGTTGTAACTGATTACTTAGGGTGCGTTCCGTTTCTTGCATGATGTGCATAATGCATCATTTATCCTTGTTTAACATTCGGTGAATAACAAGGATAAAAGATGCATTATGCGCATCATGCAAGAAACGGAACGCACCCTTAGTAATTCGCATGATCCGTTAAATATCACATTTGTTTTGTTTATATATCTTATGTATGTGTCATTTACATGAAGTATGTATTTACAACGTTTAAACTTACCGGGCTCTGCTGAATCGTGACGTCACGGCCAATCATATTGCGTTCACTCCCCACTCATTTTTTAAGCACTTTTAATCGTTTTTAATAAAAAATCCTATTATTAATATCACTTTAAATTACTTTTAAGTTAATAAAAAGCGTATAAAGTAATTAATTATAATTTTTTACACATTTCAATTTTTACAAATAAGACCCTATTCTTGTGCTCAGACCCAATACTATAATGTGGGGTCTACAATAAGCTGGTTCTGTCTGATTAGTCGCATCGCAGCATCGTAAGCGTGTCGCAAGCATTGCGGTCCAATCAGAGTTGAGCTAGCTCGACTCTGATTGGACCGCAACACTTGCGACATTTTCAGTAAATTTTGGAACACAGCCATAGTATACACGATTCCAAGGCTGCGTTCGGAAACATCACCCGAGTGTCCTCGTGTATCTTTTTATCCTTGTTATTCACTCAGTGTTAAACAAGGATAAGATGATACTTGAGGGCACTCGGGTGATGTTTCCGAACGCAGCCCAAGCATGGTGGTTGGTGATTCATCTTTTAGGCTGGATTTGGGGAGCGCGTTATCAGCGCTATTTGTGTCATGCTATCCTTGTTTCACGTTTAGTGGACGAAGAAGATAGAATGACACAATAGCGCTAATAGCGTCTCGCCGAACGCAGCCTAAAGGCCCATCTACATCTATCGTAATGT